GAGAGAGAGAGAGAGAGAGAGAGAGAGAGAGAGAGAGAGAGAGAGAGAGAGAGAGAGAGAGAGAGAGAGAGAGATTCCCTTCGATAGGATGACGAACGCACAGGGCAAGAGGTAAGTCTCCAACCCCGCGCCCGGCCTCACGGTATTTCCATCGAGAGGATGAGCAAAATCGGACGAATCTACGGCTATAACCTGGAAATATACACCGCTAAAGTTGTTTGTTTTGTTCCGTGTGTGTGTGTGGTGTGGTGTGTGTATGTGTGTGTGTGTGTGTGTGTGTGTGTGTGTGTGTGAGAGAGAGAGAGAGAGAGAGAGAGAGAGAGAGAGAGGGGGGGAGGGGCTGGTGGTAACCCGCCTGAATTCGGCTGCTTCCTTCGGATCCTCCTGCTGCTGCAACCCGGCTCATAACTGCCTCCCGCTGTTCGACGCTGCAGGGTGTGGCTGAGCGACGACGTGGGGGGCTGCTTCCTGCTCCAACACACGAGACAAGACGACGACGAAAGCGGCGAGGGGGACACACGGCGCGGGGCACACACAAGGCTGACCAACGGGGTGGGGCCGGCGCAACGCAGGACCGAGTACTTCAAAAACGAAGTACTTGAATTTACCTGCCCTTTGGTTTTTGCGGGGCCCTGTGCGCCCTCAATTTTTTTATTTTTTATTTTTTTGAACCGGCAGCGCGAAGTGGTACCGGCCTTGCAACACCCTCCCCCCCCCAACGTTTGATTTTTTTTGGTGACCCCCCGAATCGTACATGCGCCGCATGCGATGCGCGTGCGTCGTGCGCACTGCGCGGTGATGTCCATGCGCCGCATGTATGATATTGTCACATAACTATGAACTAAAAGAGCGCAATTTGTGAAACAAACGGCAAAAACAAAAAACAAAAACATGAAGGGCACAGTGAAACCATTCATTTTACTCATTCTTCTTTTGACTCCCCTTTCACCGTGCCTCTCACGTACAAGGCTCGCCACGTTGAGGAAGTTGAGCGCGAGCTGCCCCCATCCCCGTGTGCCATAATAGCCCACTTGTACGCTGTGAGAAAGAGGCAGAGTAAAGGGGGCGGGGATAAACACAGGGAGGAGAGATGGAGAGCAAACAAACAAAGAACGATAAAGGGAAAGTAAGGGAAAAAATGAAGTGGAGTGAAGATGAAGGCAAAAGAGGATAAGAAAAGGTTCAAGAATGAGTCTGTCCTTGACGACAGAGAGGACATACATTGTAAGGATGACATGGATGAACGCATGGAAGACCTAGCTGAGCATTCTCAATGCAACAATTGCCACGACGGGTGGCGTTGAGCATGCCCGCCATACACCCCCGACAAATGGCATGTCGATTGCAGGCCAAAATGAAAGAAGAACTGTCACCACAAAAGAGTATGCATTCAGTATAGCGCCCATGGCCGCAAAATGGACATATAGTGTCCGGATGCGGAGGGTGCCTGCAGTCAGGAACGGTGGGACAGTCCTCTGCACACATGGATGCAGAAACCATGTCATTGTAGTGATTGTGACAGAGAGGATGGCGGCTACAGCCGAGTGTAACAGTGTTTGTGGTTGTGCAAAGGAGAACGACGCAGAGTGTTGGTGCATTGTCTTGCTGCAGCACGGGGCCAGAGGAATGATCTTCGACATAAAAGAGATTGCGGACGGTTTGTTGTGGCAAGAAAACAACATCATTTTGTAAGAAATTAGTGACATCAATCATGGCATGGACCATGGTGCCGTTGCCCCACAGCTCCCAGTGGTCAGAGGCATGTACAATGGCCATGTAATGGCCAGGGCCGTGCACAATGCAGGCAGAGATGTGGGATGGAGGATTAAACCACTCACCTGCTCGAGCATTGCGTAGTTCAAGTTGACGGTCCCTCATTGCTACTTGTAGGACAGCGATGGTAAAGCCTCCTTCGCTGGTATAATTACAATCCTCTGGCTGTCGTTGGGGAAGATCAGCATCAAGCTGAAAGGCGATTGCAAGGAAGTCTGATGGTGTATAAAACAGGCGTTGGAGAATGTGAAGACAAATATTAGTTGCTGTCAAACCACAGAGATTGGTGAGGTTCTCAGGCTGGTTTGTTGGATGCTG